ATTCTAATTTCATCCTAAATTTTTTATTTTTAATAATTTATTTATATGTTTTTTTTAAAAAATAATTTATTTATATAATATTTGTATACTTTTGAATTATTTTTATATTTCTTTTAATTTTTCTAATTTCATTTTCTTTCTAAATTATTTAGTGATTTTATTTGCATTTTATATATGTTCTAATTTCCTTTATAATAATATATTATATACTTAACTAATTTAATTTTAATAATTTTTTAGCATATTTTTTTTATTTTTTGTCTTAAATTTTTAAATTTTTATAGTGTAAATTAATTTTTCACTTCTATATTTTTTTTTATTTTTTTAAACATTTTTATATCATTATTACAATTTTATAATTTTAATCTTTATATTTTTTCGTAATTTTCATTGAATAAATATAATATAGATTATTTATTTTATAGTCAAATTAAAATTTTCAATTTTTTTTTATCCACACATGAAAATGTTTTGAAACTTTTATCTTTGGGTAACAACTCTCATTTTAAATGTAACATAATTTATACATTAAAATATAATATATATAATTTATTATGATTTTTTTGTAATATAAAATAAGTTTAACCTATGCTCAAATTAAGATACCATCACTCTGTATATAAATTTATTTATATAACTTTTAAATATAATTTATATATTCAAATATAATATTTATTTATATATATAATTTATTATAAATTTTAGTTACATATAATAAATATTTAGTCTATAAAATAGACATGCTAAAATATTAATAAATTTTAAATTTCATCTAATTAGTAATATTAAAATGCATTTGGAAAAATCGAATAAAAAATTATTTTGAATTTGACTATTTGTTTTTGATAAGGATGACAACGAGATAGGATGAGTACCAGTTTTATTATTTTTGTTTTTGTTCTCATACTTTATACTCATCTTCATTTCTATACCCAATAAAAATAAAATTTGTGTCTACATATGTGTTCCTATTAAATATTAGGTATTCCTGTATTTGTTTTGTATTTATCCAAGAATTAATTGAATACTTTTTAAAAAAGAAATATTAAAAAAAGTTAATATAGAATAATAATTATAAAATTATATTAATTAAGTTTTATTTGATATAAATTTAAAATAAAATAAAAATTATATAAATATCAAACAAATTTAAAGATAAATTAAATTTTTAAAAATTTAAATATATTCATCCAATCTCTCTGTATTCGAATTAATAAATCGGATATTAACTATATCTATGACATATCTAAGTTAAAGTGAATTTGAGTGTTATCTCTGAAAAGGATTCCCCAAACATTAAATTCAAGTTTACGCCGAACATATTAAAAATAATGTTTTAGTAGGATCAGTTATACTTAAGACATAATAAATACGCAAAAACTTTTCAAAAAATCAACAACTCATTATTACAATTTAAACCCAATGTACCATTTTCTTTCAATAACCAACTGACAAACTCGAGGAAACATATAATTGATAACGCTATAGTTAGTTTAAGTTAAATTTTAATTTCGTCATGTGAAGTGCAACCAACCCATTTCTGAATTGTTAACTCCAATTCCGAATGAAATCACTAAATTAGTTAGGTGAAAAGAAATTAAATTTATTTTTCCACAATTAAAAAAAAAAAAAAAAAAAAGAAGAAGAAAAAGTTTGGCATAAAAAAAAAATGAACAAGCAGTTGGGTAAGGACAGGATTACACGAAATCACTAACACAACGAATCATATAACCTTTTACTAGAATAAAGCACGTTGGGATTTTCTCTAACGTGGCAAATAATAATATTTAGTCTACTAAAGCTTTTGATATATAACAAAGTATTTTCATTTTTCACCTTCATATCTACCACATGGACCATCCAAGACTCATTCTCCTACTCTTCCTGTTCCTGTTCCTACCCACCAGCTTCTCTTTCACATGTCAAACTCCTTCAAGCAATGGATTTTCGAATCAGAGTTCTTCTCTGAAGCAGCAGATTCTGGAGCTGGCTAACAGTGCCAGCACGGTGAAATGGATGAAGGGTATAAGGAGGGAGATTCATGAGTACCCTGAACTTGCGTATGAAGAGTTCAGAACAAGTGGTATCATAAGGCGTGAGCTTGAGAAGTTGGGTGTTGATTACAAGTGGCCTGTGGCTGGAACTGGTGTGGTTGCAAAAATTGGTTCAGGGGGTCCTCCTTTTGTTGCTCTTAGAGCAGACATGGATGCTTTGCCTATTCAGGTCAGTGTTACAAATCACTCACAGTTTTGTGTTCTTTGTTAAGGTTTTTTGTTCTGTTTCTTACTAGCTTCTTCCAACTTTTTCTCCTTTGATGCTACATGGACACACACACTTGTTGGACATTATTAATTAGTATGTCTGCATGCTCCTGTTTGTGACTTTGAGGATGTATGAAGCTCTGACTTTTTTTTTATTTTTTATTTTCTTGTCACGGGTATCCTAGTCCACTCGGTCATACACTAATCCAAACTGTGACTCTCGCTGACCTAAAGAGTTTTCACATCAGATGAAGATCAATACGAGATTTTCTACCAAATTGACAGTCCTCATGAGTTATTACTCACAAAACTTAGAAAAGGATTCTAACAAACTAGTTGTTACTCACAAAATTTGTGGAAGAAAGGGAAAACAAGTTATTGTGATGTGTAATTGTGTTTATGAATTATGATCTTATTGAGAAGGTCATTGGTGTGTGTTTGAATTGGAAAACTACATGCAGCGGGTTAATTTTAATGTTTCGAAATAAAACATGAAACAGAAAGCCTTCTGTATTAATTTTGAAAGAGATTATTAAGAGTCTATTTGAGTAGTGGAGAAAGGAACAGTAGTACAGTACCAAGATATTTATTATCAAAGTCAGCTAAGTACAACTTGTAGCACTGTTTTTGTATTGGAAAGTTGTATCTAACCATAATTTTAATTTAAGATCTTTACTGAAATTCTCACCTTACTCTGTCAGCGTTTCGACTGAAAGGTGAAATCAATTAATTTCCTTTCTCAACTTCCAAAAGGCTTTAATTTTATTATCATCGTCTTTCTTCGCCCCCCCC